GCAATAGCTAATGTAAATATCTATGGTTCGATTAACATCATTACGTCAGCATTTGATGCTAATTTTCTCCAGCATTTTGCACTACAACAGTTCATTTTCATCATGGCACCATATCTGGTTTTGGCCGTTTATTTTTAATTTTCTGACAAGTTCAAATGCAGTTAATTTATGATGCAGTGCATGCAAACAGTCGACGGTGGATACTAATTCTTTAGCAAAAAGCCACCACTGCTATTTCATTCACTAAATTTTCATTCATGCCCCTTGACAACTTAGAGTAACTGGATAAGAGCATAGTCCTTATTTCCCGCTCATATAAAAACTGTGCTCTCTTGCTTGAGCTTGCCTTTCTCATTTGTTTGTTGTCAAATACCTGACAGCTGCCATGTGTGCGTCCTGTCGCTAAATGTAGCGCAAAGTTCTACAAAGTGAAGTTTTATAAACTAATTTTGAGAGGATCACATGTTATGATTGATCACAGCTGGTCCTGCATCAACAATCATCGATAAACCAATCAGATGAATCCTAACCGTCAATAAATAGCCTAGTTTATCTTACCTCCATTATCTTAATTTTTGAAGAATCAGTATGCCAAACCTGCAAATAGTATCAAGTTATAGGTAATAGTTTGAATCGGTAATAGTTTGATTAGAGTGTTTACATGTCTGTACTGCGCTTCAGTTATGCGACTAAACAAGGAATACTTAATTCGATTTCTGTTTTGTTTGATTATGATTTTAGTTCTATTATGGTCAACAATAATCACAGTTTAAATAGTAGACTCTTAATTAAAGTTTTGTCTTACTCGGAGTATAGGTGTCTTTGTAAACATACTGATTCAGGCCTCTGTCCATGCATTCCCTGGGCACATCAGTGTGCAGATGGCTGTGTGATATTAACCGTGTGACACGGAGGCTTTCTGATTGATGGGTGTTTGAATAAGCATCCGCTGAGAGATACATGGTAAATCAGGATGAATATTCTGATTTCGCAGAGGAAAGCGTTTGTCGAAAGGCTGCTGAAGATGCCACAGTGTAATTTTGTATCATAATAGCAGGCAAACATTCCCCTCACTTGTCACTCATTGACTCTTGGATAAAAAAGCTATTTCATCTGTCTTGTTCAGACTGAGAATGGAGATCTCAGCCCCTTTAGAGCTATTGTTTGCAAGGTATTGAAAACTATAATTGTTGCACAGCAGATCTCGGCTACGGTGAGTCACTCGAATCAATCTCGAGCGTTCATCGCTGCACTCCACCAGTAACTGAGCGACAGCTTTTTTTTTTTTTTTTTTTGCTGCTAGACAAATGATATTTCTCAAGAAACTACATTTCATAAACACACACTACGTTTCATCCGTGACCCAGAAGTTCAGCTCTTTTGAATTATACAGCTTATCTGTGGATTCCATTCAGTGGTGTGTTACATAATTAAAGGGGCAGCGTGTAAATTCTGCTCCACGATTGACACCAAACTGAATTGCGAAAAATAGTCTTATTGTTTTGATTTCTTCCCATTTTGGCTCAAGGATTGCTGTAGTAGTCTATGAATTATTATTATAAAATGTGTAGAATTTCAAGAAAAATTGATTTAATGTACATCAAAAGTAACAAAGCTCATAGTGATTTGGGCAATGTTTTACAACAACAGTACATGAATAATGATGTATTAATATGTAAACTAAACATTACTTTATTCTGAATTAATAATGCATTAAGGCACGCACTAATCAGGAACTAACTTACTACTACTTAACTACAACATAATTTACAAGAGTTCATGTACAAATAATGACTACCTTAATTACTTTTTAGAACATGTTGTTAATTGATGTATTAATTAACATTTAACTCATGAGCTGTAAATGTATAATTATGTCATGACTTTACTTGAAGGGGCACATCACATCAACTCATCCATAACTACTGATGAACTCCTGTGTTTAAACTGTTGATGATGTTGACAACACTTTTCTATTCTGCGTAAACACACTAGACTGATTTTCATAAGGAGTTCATGAGTAGTTAGGAATGGGTTAATGATGATGTGCCCCTCCAAGTAGAAGTAAAGTCATGATAATTATACAGTAACATTTAATGAGTTCTTGATTGTTATTAAGCATAAATTAATGTGGTAATTAATACATTAATTAACAAGCAAGCATGTATTAACAAGCAATTAAGCTAGTCATTATTCACACATGAACTCATGTGACTCATGTTGTAGATAAAGTTAGTTCCTGATTAGCGCATAAATTAACTCATAATTAGTTCATAATGAAGCAATGTTTCATTTACCTATTAACACATTGTTAATTATGGACTGTTATTGTAAAGTGTTATCATGATTTGTTAGACTGGGGGCATGATACAAAGTTTTATTCATTATATATATTTTTTGTTCATTCATTGTTTATTTTTATTTTTCAAATATCTTAGAAGGTTTTAATTTACCCTTGCATAATACAAATAAATATAAAGTACTATAAAGTTTCAAATGAATATCTTTAAGTGTTCAGACTAAAAGATCAAGAGCAAACTACACAGATAGTACTTCTGAAAACAATAAGAGAACTGGTGATACGCACTAATTGTTGAAGTTCTTATCTGATGGGGTTTGTTGTTGTGTTCGCTTTGTTCTCATGCAAACTACAAGTACAGAAATCACACAGAAAATACTGTAGAGTGCATCCAATTATATGAAGATTTCATAACTCCTAAAGCGTTCCCAATATCGTATTCTATTTGCATCTGATGTACAGTTAGTGGTCAATGGATGTTTGAGGGTGAGACTACAAGTGCAGCCTTGGGGCTGTAGCAACCTATGATGCCATTCACTATCTGCTTATGTACAGTAAGTTTCTACAATTCAGCATTCAGAATTAGTATCGGTCGTCAGCTTTCACATCTGTAGTTTGCTTCATTTCATCTGGACCAAGGGCAATAAATGACACATTGTAGCATTTTCTGCCATCTTTGGGTCCTTTTCACACCACACTGATTGCTTTGGTCCGAACCAGTTGAAAAGTACAAAAATGCAGTCATGTGACAAAATCCACATCACTCATTGGCCAGATGTTGTTGAACATATTTCCTAAACTGCTTTTCGATTGGTCAAAATTCACGTGCGGGGTAAATGCCACACTCCTGCAAGTAAACTAACCGGCAAATACAAAATGACGCTTTAGACATAGTTTGTATACATCACTTTAGATAAGCTATACATTTAAAAAATGAAGCGCAGCTGTGACTGAAAAAACTATTTTTAATGCATCACAAACGGTGAAGGTGCATCACACGTCACTTCAGGTGGAAACGTGAATTAATTTAGCTAAACTGTGACATGGTCATCTTATGGAAATATTACCAACGATCCATCAGGTATTTTTTTTCTCTCTCCGTTTAAAATTATTGGCAAAGCGCTGTCAACAAATATTTTCCTTCACATTCCATAACGCACAGCACATCGGCCTACGGCAGCTGGATTAGTCCAAAAAGGTGCAGTACTTTTCCGATTGGGTCTGTTCTAGTTTGGATCATAATTTCATCACAAACAAACCACTCCAGGGTTCATTTAAAAGGTACGCTTTTTTGGTTTGCTTTTGGTGTGCACTCAAGTATGATTGCTACATTCACACCTGCCCAAACAAACCGCACCAAGAGGGAAAACAAACTCTAGTGCGATTCAACCATACTAAATAAGGCAGGTGTGAAAGCAAATAGAGCAAAAGTTGACTCAACTGAAAATAGTATAAGGCAACTTGCTGCAGAGCTGTTTTGAGTTGACTCAACTTTCAACCCAAGTACTGCACTTGGCTCGATTTAAGTTGAGTAAAAAATCAAGTAAGTAAAGTTGAGTCTTAAAATTTTAAGTTGCCAACTTTTTTACAGTGTATAAATCAGAACACTACAACAAAATATAAATTTACAAAACTAAGCAAACGATGCAAGTCATGAGGGAACACAAAGAAACAGTCTCACACTTCATCATATTTGTTAAATATTTGCAAGTAATATAATTTATCTGAATATTAGACATATTTGTATGAGAAAACACCTATTTGGAGCTTGAGAAGTACTGTGAATATGGTAAACACTGCTTTATTTACGGGTTGTATGTGTGCAGCACTAGTTTCAGTTTCTCTTTGTGTATTAACAATACAGACTACTGCTACATGGATGTTTGGAAAGACGCGTCGTCCCATACAAGCGCAGAATATGTTTCACTGTGTTCACATGCAGCTTGGAATTTAAGAATTTGGGACTTTGGGACATGTGGAGCTGCGCATCGATGGATTTTCTTTTCAGTGTTTGGACTTTTAGCAGTTAGCTAAACCACACTGAACTGAACTAAACTGAACTTCAACTCTGAAAACTAAACTGACATGGTTTCAGTTTAATAGAACTTATGTTAAGCTGCTTTGACACAATCTACAAGCACTATAGAAATAAAGATTAATTCATCTAAATATTTTACTGAATTTATAATTATACTGAATTTTTCAGGATCGGATGCAGCCAATGCGAGGTGACAGTCAGTCAACACAGTCAGTTTTTTTTTTGCTAGATCTTTGATGTTAGCTTGGTGGGTGTCCCAGACTTTAAAGCATGATGGATTCTAAGTGACTGTCAGTGATTTTGGAATTTATCATCTGGATACAAACAACAACAAAAAAATTCTGTCATACCATTCTTCTATGATGTTATTGTCATAGTTTTTTTGTGAACTATACATCTGCTGTATTAAAGAAACCCATCGTCCTTGCCCTTTATAAAAGTCTACACATGTTAACCTGAAGTGTTTCCTAAAGATATAATAACATCATGTTTTGTGCTTCTCAACATTTCTCATATTCTGTTCTTTAAGAATTCTAGAGATCATAAGAGGTTGTGCCTGTGCCTGTAAGATCAGCTGTGTTTTTATCTCAAAGATTAATGGTTAGCTCTCCTCAGCCTCTCAGCTCACGTAACCTTCTTCTTTGTTTGTTTTTTCCTCTGTAGACTCTGAATAAGAACAATCTCCTGCCAGACGAGAGGACAAACTACTTCCCTTCACCGCTTCAGCAGACCAACGTCTACACCACCACGTACTACCCCACAGGACTGGGCAAATACGACTACCGGCCGGACTCCTCACCCTCGCCCTGCAGAACCTATAACCACAGCTGAGACACGTACAGTGCACATCCTATCAGGAGCTCCTAAGGACGTCCGGACATCTCTTCCCAAAACCCTCCACTTTTCCGACCCAAACATTTCGCACTCGATGAGGTGCTCGTTCCAACATTCCAGCAGATTTTTTTCCCCCTAAGCTCCTTTCCCAAGGACCACGTCAACTAAGTCATGCCTTACGGTGTCTCCGATTGGGGGAAAGGTTTCAAACGGCACTTTTTAAAGATTGTGTAGCTGCACACTGACTTCATAAACCCAAGTCTTGATTGATCTCTGTAAAACTCTTGCTAATAGAAGGAGATTCTGCTGAAGCTACAGGCGGGAAGACCAAATTGCGGCGACATCCCTCCCGTGCAACAATATCCATTACAGGCATGCAATATGTCGCACCGTGGCAGTTCTTTTTCAAAACTAAAGGAAAAGAATAGACAAAAGAGTGCAATCAATTGTGACATTATTAGGTTTGGTGCGGACGGTGGATTCGTTTTACCTTTGGATGCAAATTTAAGGACTTCCCACTGACTTCCGACCTTTGAAGGGCAAATCTCTGACAAAAGAGGACGAGTTACGGGATCGATGTGTCTCCTGGGTGGATATGAGCTCACGATGAAAATACTGCTTAAAATAGGATGCTGTTCAGAAGCGATATATAGATTTTTCAGCACGTTAGGCAAGAAGAATGCTGTCATTCTTTCCCTGAAAACGCCTTTTGTACTTGCGAATGCATGGGATTTTGAGGAATATTGCACCAACGTGGAATATGCTTGAGTCTGAAGCAAACATGTTCTACTCTGTTACTGTACGTCCCGATGGTCATATTAAATATGGCTGGGTTCAAACCAAGACGGACTATATTTTATTATAAAAAAAGAGAAAAGACATATAGGAAATACTGATTAGCTTGGCACTTGTTTTCTATCGTTATATTAAAGAGGGAATTGTTCACCAGTTGTAGAATAGACGGACAATAGAGTTTATTTAAGATATCAGTTCAAACATACTGAACATTTCATATATTGTTTTTTATTATTGTTTCCAGATGACGTATCCCTAAACATTCGTCAGAGATATGAGCAAAGGCGTACACCAATGCATACGCATTATATATTCGTAAAATCTGAAAACAAATATCTGTTTTTTTCAACCCAGGCTCATTCTGAAAACGTACCTCTATATACATTTCTGGAGACCATCAAATATGTTCCAGGAGCTACATTTTTTTGTAGTTTTTGTTTTTGCGAATCCACCAGAGGCCGATGTGTATGCTTTTTCAGATCTCAAATTTCTCTCGCGAGTGCCATTTGAGCCTGGTGTTTTCTCTCATAAATCCACCAGAGCCCGCTGGTGACTGATTGTTTGACTGACTGAATTGACTGACCCACCCTCCTTCTTCCCTAAACCCAACCAATAGTATTTTATAAAGTACAGATTGACGCGCCCACCTACTTCCCTAGACCCAACCGACAGTTTTAAAAAGCATTCAGAAAAAGAAAAGCCTTCGTCTGATTTTTACCATGTTTTACCACATTCTCACTCTGTTATTTTTTTGTTTACTTTATTTTTTGGTTACAGTTTTTATCTTACTCGCTTTCTGGAACCTTTCTTCACCATACTCGAACCCCGTTATCGTGGTCATCTCTCTGCATGTCAAGTCCACCAACGTACATGGCATGATAACTGGACATACTGGTAACAGCGGGAAAGCTGTCCATATGGAGTTAAGCGGTTAGCTGGTAAGCACGAAAAGGAACGGCGTCATATCGCCCCGTAGCGTTCATAATAAAAGCGAAATGCAGCCATACGTACTTCTGGCTACATAATTCACGATCTCCAGAAATGTAAATAGGGCTACGATTTTAGTATGGGACTATGTTCTTTGGCTTCCTGGTGGAATTGCGCCCACATTCCAGATGCAGATGTACATCAGCTCTCGTTGGGATGTAGTATTTATGGTATGCTTGGTTCCTAAAGGGCATCGGAAACGACACTAAGCTGTTTTATCACGCCTGTTTAATGAATGCCATGCCAGCCATGTTTTTCACCAAGCATGAGTCCACTGGCTGTAAATTAGTCATGTCCCACACAAAGGTTAGTGTAATGTACATGTATATTGTAAAGCTAACATTGTTTTGTTTTTTTAAACGCCTTATAGTTGTAAAATAATATGTGCAGCAGCTGTGTAAATAAACCAACTGTAGGGATCATGTGGGGATGGAGCCTGTCAGTGTTCAGAGATTGAGTGAAATGCAGAGAGCCAACGCTGATCGATAACTTTAAAGATTATTCATTAGAGGCCCTACAAAAAGATTAGGGAGCGCTTTTATTTTTATTCTTATGTGCATAATTCATATGAATTTATTTTTTTTTACAGTTTGCATGACAAATTACACGTCTCTAATTGTTTTAAATGTTGTTGGCTCTTTTGTTATCTTAAAGATGTTCTGTTTGAATCTATATTTCCTTTTTTTTCTTCTTAATGTTAAGTTTTGTTGCTTGCATACCAAGTCTTTACAATGGAAAATGACACCATACTTTATGAACTTTGGTAACACTTTACAATAAAGTAGAATTTGTTATTGCATCTACTAACATGATCAAACAATACATTTATTATAGTATTTATTCAGATTAAGGTGTTCATTGTTAGTTCTTGGTGCATTGACCAATTATTAATTATATGCATTATTACATTCATTAACTTTGAATGTGAATAATGCATTAGTAAATGTTGAAATGTCGTTAATAAATGCTGTACAGGTATTGCTCATTCTTAGTTAATACATTAACTAATAAAACCTTATTGTAAAGTGTGACCAGAACTTTTCTTACAGAGGGGTCCAAAAGTCTAAGAGCATTACTACAAATGTTACTATTTTTGCATTTTTATTGTTATTATTTGATTAAATTTCAATCCTAAGTTATATTATAGATATAATTTGAATGAAAAAGTAAACAAAAGAAACCTTTTTCTATACATGGGTCAAAGACAGCTTGGCATACACATGCAATTAAATTGATAAAAGGTATTTAATATAGCATAAATGTAGTTTTATCATCATTCACACATGTATCCACGTACAAATTTAAAGTTTAATAATTTAAATGAATATAAATTCATCTTCAAGAATGTTGAGGCTCCACTAAATCCATACAAAAATTTTAATATATCATCAAATTCAAGTCAGTTCATCTTTATTTCTATAGTTCTTCTACCATGTAGATTGGGTCAAAGCAAATGATTCTTGCATGAAATATGCCTAAAAAAGATTACTGGGTATAAAAACTAGTTACACTGAATTGCTTTTTAATGGGTTTATATAGTAAATCAAGTTAAAATTGCATGATAGTCATACTTTTTTACACAGAAGAACATTTCTAGCAAAATGTCGGATGCATTAAGACAGAAGGAGTGTGTCCTACTGGTGGTTTGTCAAGCCTACTCACCTGTATGGAGCGCACTCATGCATCATAGTTATGTGATCCAATGTGTGTATGCTTTACTAAAAAGATAGGTCTTTAATCTAGTTTTGAACTGAGAGAGTGTGTCTGAGCCTTGGACATTATTAGGAAGTGTATTCCAGAGTTTAGGAGCCATTAATGAAAAGACTCGACCTCCTTTAGTAGTCTTTGCTACTCTAGGTATTACCAGAAGCCCTGAGTTTTGAGATCTTAAAGAGCAGGTTGGATTGTAGCAAGACATAAGGTTGGTTAGATAAACAGGAGCTAAATTATTTAAATCTTTATAAGTAATAAGCAATATTTTAAAATCAATACGAAACTTAACAGGCAGCCAGTGTAAGGAGGATAAAATTGGGGTGATATGATCATATTTTCTAGACCTGGGTAGAACTCAGGCTTCAGCATTTTGTACTAGCTGAAGTTTGTTAATAGAGGATGCTGGGCAGCCAGCAAATAGAGCATCACAGTAATCCAGCCTAGAAGTCATAAAAGCATGGACTAGCTTTTCTGCATCTGAGATGGATTGCATACTTGGTAACATATCGCTGTTTCTCAGATGGAAGACGGTGTTTTTTGTTTCATGGGAGATATGATTTTCAAAAGTTAGATAGCTGTCTAATATGACACCCGGATCTTTTACAGTAGAGCTAATGCTAAGTTTGTATCCCTCTACTTGTAGGTCGAGTTGTGAGATCTGCTGTGTACAGCATTTAGGCCCATTAAATAATAATTCTGTGAGAAGAAAATTGTTGGTCATCCAGTCTTTAACATCTTTAATACACTCAGTTAGACAGCTCAGATGCCTCATCAGGTTTAGTTGAAATAAATAATTGAGTATCATCTGCATAGCAGTGAAAGCTGATCCCATGTCTTCTAATAATGTTTCCCAGGGGTAGCTTGTATATTGTAAACAGCAAAGGGCCTAAAACTGATCCTTGATGCACCCCATACTTTACTGGGCTGACTTGCGAAAGCTGTCTGTTTATATTTACAAACTGGTAACAGTCGGTTAAGTATTACTTAAATAATTGTAGAGCCTGTCCCATGGAATTTAAGCAATTTATAATGATATCACATTCTAATGTATTGGGGGTTGGGGGTATGTATATTGTTTAAATACATCATAACAAACATAAATATTTCTGTCTTTTACTTGTTTAGAAATAATGACAAAATATCAGATTTGTTATCAAAATCAGCCTGAAGTAAATTATCCTGACTAAATTGACTTTTCAAAGGCTTTTTGGACTCCACTGTGCGCATGAACAGAAATAAAGAATAGGTAAGACTCTAAGCTCATATTGAAAGTTACAAGGTCAAACTAAATCCCCACATTCGCTCCTGTGTTCCTGAGCGGATAATATACGTTGGTCAAGTGCGGCTGCTCTGTGTAAGTGTGGTTTTGAAAGGGGTCTCTCTGCTATTGAACATGCATAAAGCCAGACCACGCAATGAGGAGCTCCATCCCTGCAAGGCTTGGTGCCCTTCTATGCAACTGACCTGGTGGTTAGATATGCGATGTAGACTGTAATCACTGCCTTTTAGACACTGTGAATTTTTGGTACTCTATATTTTTGTATATTGTACATTGTAAAAGATAATAAACCTTGATGCCAACCTGCTTTGACCCTGAGCCGTTTCGTCCTTCTCCCATCTACTCCCAGACTGCATCAATCTAGGTCACCCTGGCGGGAGTGAAAGGTAAGCGTTTTCAAATTGTCATGTTTTTCAATCCAATGTCAGGTCGGCTATCATACGCTACCATTTGGACGTGTTGGGATTTGCTTGGCAGGCTGAGGGAAATTGGAACTAAATGCTGACAACACTTGTGCACCTTTTTCCCTTCACAAAATCCCTCCTAAGAGACAAAATGGATGTTGGTCTTTGACATGATACAGTGTGTGTGCCCTTTTCACTCAAAACATGCAAGGCATAAATAATGAAGTTGGCAGTGCTGGTCTAAAATGTAGCCAGCAAGTGTGTGGAGTTTATTCACTGCTCGTTTTTAAAGAAGCCGCTCTGCAGTTTTGCATGAATGAAAGTCAATAGGAACCGGCAAAAGTGTCTTTTTTGAATGGATTTTGGGATGATCGATAAACCTAGTTTCAACAGTTTTGCCGTTGGTTCATTCAAAGGAGTAGTTCGCCCAAAATTCTGCAATTATCTGCTCACCCATGGGAAGTTTCAAACCAGGCTTTCTTCTGTGGAACACAAAAGGAGAAAATGGTTTTGGTTCACGTGGATGAAATCAATGGGAATGAATCTTTCTAGTTTTAAAAAAGTTTTACAGAAAAATGTTAGCGTCTTAAAGGGCACCTATGATGAAAATCATCTTTTGGAAGCTGTTTGAACAGAACTGTGTATAGTGTGTCCACAGTCATACTGGAGTAATAGAAACATAATAATTTTTTTTTTCTGACATTAAAATAGGATCCAAACCTCTCACATTTTGAGATTGACCGTAACGTGACAGGAGTGCGGTTTCCACGCCCACTGACTTGATTGACAGCCATGTATTAATATGTCTCCGTAATGGCGCATATAATCGTATCAATAAGACAGGACGTGCACAAAGAAACGGGGATTAAATGATCTGTTGAGCTCCCTGTGATCATCAATCATCATCAAATGTGATCAGGAATGAGCTTTACAAGTTTAATATGTTAAAACAGTGCATGTTTTTAACGAATTACAGCGATTTTTTCGTCTTTATTCTCACAGCTGCATGTCAGTACAATTATAAAAGACACTTCAATCCCGGGTTGCGGACGTTAAATCAGGTT